CCAATGCTTCTTTTTTTTATAGTCAGTTTAATGAGAACTGTTCTGGACTGTTTTCTGATATTAGTATTTCATGACCAGGGGTAGATTCCCAGCAGTATAAGAAATGGGAACAAAACCATGCACTTTTTAAATTAAAGCAATTAAGCAGTTTTTCCGTTCTGTTAAAAATGTTATTTCTGCATTCACTAGTCATTCATGGGTATTAACAGTAAATTAAACAGTGTTTACTGTAAAGCTCTTTGCATTTTATGTCTTCATGTGCATGTAGTTCTGTCAATAAAAACATCAGTCAACCCTGTCTACTCAGTATCCCCAACAAAGGGCTATTAATGATATTTTCCAAATTCAAAGCAAAAAACAAAACAAAACACACAAAAAAGTTGTGCTTTACTTACCTAAATGTAATTAAATGTTTGGTATATAATACAAAGTTCAATCTTGATTTTTGGTACCAGAAAATACTATCTGAAGACTCAAGGGCACCATCAGCACACATCATACCTGTCCCCCAAAATTAACTTTGTTTTTCTTCTACTAGCCTGAGGCTACTTTACTCAGCTGTATGAATTAATTCTTGCACTTTTTTCTCTTATTAAACACACATATATTCAAGTCCAGGCTCTTCTGTGAATAGAACTTTTCTTGATTACTATCACTGTTTAATTTCATTGCTTGTCTTTTAAGTTATAATTTCCTTATTTCACAATGTTTTAACTACATTGGCTGCAACTGTTAACAGAATAACAAGTGATTTTGGGGGCCAACTAGGAAGGCTTTAAAAAGATTTGATTAGGCAATTCATTTCACTAATGTTACAACATCTTCACTTGATTATTTTAAATGAGTGTGCATATCCACTTTGGCAAAATACTGGGAAGTTTAATCATCTCTCCTAAATAACAAGCTTTCACTGGCAGAAACACATGGGCTAAGGAATACAAACAGGATTCAGGAAAACAAACGCCATGTTTACCCAGCAAAATTTACCACAATACCTTTCCTGGGGTGAGGTTCAAACCACCATCCTGAAACCAAAGTGATTTAATTCCTGAACAGCATCAGAGACGAACACAGATCCATGGATCCGCTTTCTCCCATCCCCACTTTCAGTTACTCCTGCCCAGTAGCTGCTCCAGTAAGATGGCTTCCCAAGGGCTTCTGAACTCCCTGCTCCAGAACTAGGAGAAATATTGTAAGGTCTCGGACACAGCATGAACTACAACTACAGTTAGCAGTAATGCAGTGCAACCTGTCATTAAAGCATCTACTCCATTGTCTCTGTCAAATTCCAAGCTGAATTCCAGCCTCCTAATCAGAAATACTCCCAACTCTACTCCTTTTTATGTGATGACCTTTAATGTACAGACCACTTTGAAGTCTTCATCTTTCTCAACCCTATATTTTCTTATGTCTTAGATGGGAGATGGATCCATCTCCTCTGAGACAGAATAGATGTATTTTGATTTGATTCCATTTGCAAAATAGGCTAAAATTGAGACAGAAGGTAACCCCAAGTCTAAAAGAGGTCCTTAATTATGGCTGAAATTAAAGAGGGTAAGAGATAGGAATTTTACAAGTTCCAAACCCCCATCAGGGGAATTTGCACAAACTTCCAAAAAACCACAAACAATTTTGTTTTAAACACTTGCTGGGATGGATCATCCATAACTTCTCTAGGCAACTGTCCCAGTGCCTCACCACCCTCAAAGCAGAGTTTCTTTCCTGTCTTTGCTCACCTAAACTTGCCCTCTCTCAGTTTGAAGCCTATCACTCCATGCCCTTGTAGAGAGCTTCTCACCAGTTCTCTTGTAGCACCTTTAGATATTAGAAGGTGCTCCAAGGTCCTCCAGAGCATTCTCTTCTCCTGGCTGAACAACTCTTTCACTCTATTTTCATAGGAGAGCTGCTCCACCCCTCTGAGCATCTTTGTGGCTCCTCTGGACTTGCTCCAGTGGGACTACACCGACATTGCGCTGAGCTCCCGAGAGCTGGATGTCGGCATCCAGATGTGGTCTCACCAAAGCAGAGCAGTAGAACCAACCACCTTTACCTGCTGGTCATGCTTTTGATGCACCCCAGGATATGCTTGTATTTCTGGGCTGGAAATACACACTGTCAGACCATGTTAAGTTTTTTGTCAACCAACAACTGCGTATCATTCTTCTCAGAGCTGCTGCCCATTGTCTGCATACACAGCCTGTACTTGTGCCTGGGATTGCCCTGACCCATGTGCAAGGCCTTGCACTTGGACTTGTGGAATTTTATGGGGTTCATTTCTCTTCTGCAGGCCCACTTCTCAAAATTCCTCTGGCTGACATCCCTTCCTATCAGTATGCCAGTTGGCAAACTTGCTGAAGGCGCACTCAAACTCATTGTCCATGTCACCAACAAGATGCCAGAAGATATTAAACTATGACCATGCAACCGGATTCTTGAGACATGGGTGAAAGACCCCTGAGGTAGCACAAAGTACCTTTTGCCACAAGAACAGACTGTGGATTTATTTTGGGTTTCTTTTTCTGTATTGTTCTCAAGCTCTCAACATTTAATTATTAAAGTGTATTCATTCCTTTTTGTAATCAAGTAAGAAATGAATCAATTATGGAAAACATTTTAATTAATTAGTAGTTCTTTAATCAAAAGCATTAACAACTCTATCTGGAAATAAAAGTAATTTTTGCAGTTTGATGGTCATTTATTCTGTCTATAGTGATTTTAAGGGAAAAGCAAGCAAGAGACTGTGAGATGATCTACAGTAGGAAGTGCTCACCAAGTAGGACTGCCTCTAAAACCCAGTATACTGAATGGCTGAATATCAGACCCTTTTTGGAAAAGCTGGCTCAAGACATGTCACCATGAGGCAGTTATTTCTGAACTTATTTTCATTGTAAACAGAAATAAAAGATGGGCTTCCAAGCATAGAAGTGAATCTTTCTACTGCAAAGGGTGCATTTTAAAAGATCTGTCATTGTTCTGATTGCTGTCATTGTCATTCATTGAAATACCAAGGGCAATGCTGCCAGGATTTGAGTGTGGGCTCACTCTTTCAGTACTGCAATTCCCAAAGTGAAATAAAATCTCTCACATTAAACAATAATGCCCCTACATTTAGGAATAATTAATACATTTATTACATATTACTCTAATGCAGGTTTATACCACTGCTCATATAAAGACACTGCACAAATTATTGACTTGGTTCTCTGTAAATGTCTTACAGCTGTTTATGTAAGAGACAATAAGAAATGTAAGAAAAAACATGTGAGCAAGCTGATAATTCAGGAGCAGTCACATGAAGTTACACTATTTCAAACTATATATTACAAAGAACTAGCCTGGATATAGTTATCTTATCAAAAATCTCTATTGAGAACATCTATGACCTTAGTGATTTTAATTTATCTCAATATATGCACTAAATACAAATACCCAACTTTTACTGGCTGAAATCCTATCCCATTTAAATTAATTCTTCTATCACTTCAGTGATAGAAGCTGAGGAAATCATTAAGTGGTGCAGAAACATTAAGGCCACTGTAACCCATCTTCAACAGAAATGTAAAATCAAGACTTATTATTTACAGCTCTAATGAAGCATCATTGCTTTTCAAGTAACACCTCGGATTTGTTTTATAGAATACCTTTTAGCTTATTTGTATTAGGTAAATACAAATAAAGGGAAGAGATGCTATCATGGATTATTTTCAATGTTGGCCAGTGTACAGTAAATACTGACCATTTGCTAACTAAGTCCTTATTTACCTGACTAAAATTACCACTATAACATGCAGTCTTTCACAAGAGCAACACAGATGTCAGAGATTAGAATACTGTTTTAAAGAATTCTACTCCTGAACAATATTTTTCTTTTAAACTGCAGTAATCTCCCCTAGAAGAGCAAGAAGTTGCTGAATGAATGTTGAATCTATGAAAATTTTAGTAATATATAGTTTTCCAAAGCATGAAAGAACAATGTCAGTTCTATTGCATGTGTCTGTACAGACCTGAGGATCTGCATAGTGAAATCCCAAACCATAGCAGAAATGTAATCAAAATCTCTGGTTGCTGTGAGCTTTCAAACAAAGTAGTGTTAAATTTTCCAAACCTTAAAAATATAATGTAGTAAACTCAGTTTCATCTGCAAGGTTAGGTCTCACTAACAACCTCACAAATGCAGACAGATATGAAACTAACTTGTCAAACGAAACACTGCATCCCAAAGAGCAAGGTCAAATACTGTTTAAATTAATATTGTATAGGCTGTGTTTTCCTTTGAACTTGGTTTTATATTCTACAGAAATACGCTATCTATGGCTGTTAGGAAATCTGATAACCAAGCATGAAAGTTCAGTAACTGCTTTATGTATTTTAGATTACTTTCCTGCAGAGATAGAAGGTTTTCCTTTTACAATGATAACTAAATCTACTTTCTGGAATTATCACACATTTAACTAAAGTCTCTCTATAATTTCATGTGCTCCTTGTAATTTATGATTTAATAATGAAAAAGCATAGTCAAGTATATCTAAAACAACATAAAACTCACATCAACATTCTTGGATGCTGCAAATAATTTGCTATGTAAACTAGACTTCTGTTGATCAGTATTCAGCATTCAGGAAAGTGGCTCATTTATTTTAACTGTAACTTTCATTAATGTACTTCTTTAAAACCTTGTTGCCAACATATAGTTGGATATTTATTCAAGGACCTATGATAAATTTCTCAGTTCTTGTTATCACTATTATTTTTCTCAGACACCTACATATAATGTCATCAATTACTTAAACAGAAACAAAGACTAGAAAAATTCAAGCAACAAGTAGACAAGATAACTTAAATCCCACACAAAGGAAAAAAAAAGAGTGGGCTGCATAAAATATCAGAAGCCATATGCTTTCAGCCACATCTGGCTGTGGAAAAGTTAAAATGCAGTCAGAACCAAATGCATTTTTAAAGGAACAAGCTGCTTCTGGGTATAAACATGTACACTGACTTACTGCAAACAAATGGATGTACCTGCAGAGACACGGGGACAGTCTGGCAGCATGGACTCCACTGACGTGTCCAGGGGCTCGGAGCTGGACACCCAGTTACAGCAGTTCTGTAAGAGCAGGCAGGCAATTCTTGGGATAAGTCAAAAACTCAGAGCAAAAATAAATACAGATGTTGTAAGTGAGGACAATGATGACATCAAAATACTCAAACTAATACACAGCAGTCAAAATAACAACTGGACAGTACACTACATTAACTTATGCTTACTGATGATGAAATAATGTAATTTTATACTAAGTAAGTAAGAACATAATTCAGCAGATTTGTAATGTGCTGAAGTATCGTGATTTTTAAGTGCTGCTTTCAGTACCCATGGACTTGAGTAGGTGCTTGGACCAACTAGTGCCTGAACTACCCACTACAAGCTTTAAGATTTTCTGAGTTGGTGTTGATATAAATAGGTCTTGGTATAAACACTGAGCCTGTTCATTTGCTAACATTAAGAAATCAGAATTTTTCAGGGTATTTTGATGGAGTACACTGTGGAAGAAGCATTCATAAAAATATGAAACAACATACTATAACTAAACAGAAATCATCGAGATAGAATATTAACATTCAAATAATTGGAAATATAGCTGAGATGAACGTGCATGAACATTAAAAAAAGGCAAATACTGGTCTCTGGGGAATTATATTCATAAAGCCTTTACATTTACCTTTCATTCCTGAACCTCTGAGAAGGATGAATTTACCAGGTATTTTCTAAATGTTTTGCTCCAAATGCTATCTAATTAGAGTAGTCTATAAACTGAAACAGTAAATGATATGCTTTCAATAAAATATAATGAAACCACACCAAATCTACTGAACTGAAGATTTAATTATAAAGCAACTACATTTTTAGTAAGATTACCAGCTGAACAACAAGATCCATGTTGCTTGCTATGTTAAAAATCTGAGTTTTTCCCTTCTGAAAACCTGATTAACTTCACTAAGTGGAAAAGGTAAAAAAAGCTCGTGCAGCCTTTTGGAAAGACCCAATCAATTTTCAGACAGATTTCTAAGCAAATAATATGATAAGTTCATGATAGTAAAAATGGAGAAATTCTCTTCTGGTAAACAGCATGTATTGTGTATTTGTAGATGCTTGCTGCTCTAGTTGTGCACCATGGAGTCCGTCCTCACTGTGGAAAGATCCTTGACTGGTAGATCAAGTATCTTATTGTATTTCCTTAATTCATTCTGTCTGGAAGAAGATGTCAGCTGTGTTGCAGTGAGGAGAGAATTTCAAAGGCTTCAGTCCCCACCAATAAAGGGCGAGGAATGGCTTTTGAATAGATTTGTCAAGGCAACCCTACTGTTCTGGGACCAGGGAGAGCAGGGACAACATAAAGGAAGGGTTGCTGTATGAGATTAGAAAGTGAAGTTCACAAAGCATGGCAGATTTTTGTAAGAAACAGTAGATCAATGAAACTATTGAACTCAATGGAAAAAGAAAAAAACAAACACACTACCCAGTAGTATAACATATTTAGTAAAACCTGTTAAAATTGAAGTATTTCATGAAGGTTTTAAGGTTTAAAGTGGTAAAGAATTATAATTTTATGATTTGCATGTGTAATTTTAATTAACAGCTGAATGTGAAATTGTAAATGTAAGGTGGTAGAAGTTACAAAAGAAGTAGAATTTTTATGAAGTATTACAATCATTTGAAATAAGTAAAATTAATATTAACTACTGATAGAACACTACATCAGAGAGCTGGAGATAATACAGAAGATTAGCACAGAATTAACTATCTTTTATACACAATGTGACACTTGCCTGTAAGAAATAAGTATTCTCGAAAGCAGTGTCAAGATATGTAAATGGATGATTTGTTTTATCATTCATCACGGCTCCTAATAAATTCAAAAATCATGACATCTATAGGTACTAAAAATAGGCCACCAGTGATACAGGAGAGATAGCTCAAATGAAGAATTACTTTATTTTAACAATTCATTCTTTCAATGACAGCAATTAACCCAACAGACAGGCAGCGATTAGGTGTATATTTTAATTATTATTCATTTTACCACTAGCCTTAAACCTGATTAAAGTAAGAGATATCCAGGTGATATGCTAGACTTAATACCACTCAGCCACATTTCACATATGTAAAATTCTTCTTCCTTATAGGAGATTTTTAATGTTAATGTAAGTTATGACACTCCATCCGCTTTTTAGGCCATTAATCATTTAACTTATTCTTTAACATCTACTTTCTGCAAATGAAATTAAAGGTAATGCACTTTTCTTATTCAGACTAAATGCTTGAAGAAAAATGGAGTTGTCAGATTCAAATTACAGGATTTAAAATTTCAGTTTTACTACATAACACATATTTTAGGTTTTGATTTCCCATAAAGAAAATGGGGATTTCTCTGACAGAGCCTGTAGGGGCTACCATTCTTTATATTTTTAACACTTAAGTCAGAGCTGTCAGGCTGCATCCCAGGTGATCCTCTATTCCCATCAGTCACAGCCTACAAAACTTTAAGTTAAAGTCAGGAATAGGCACTGTATACACAAAGTTTCACTAAATCAATGAAAAAAAGTCAAGTATAAAAGAAAGTTCAGGATATGACTAGTTTAAATTAACTCTGTGCACCTATTGTTTTACTGTTCTGCCATGGGAATGCAGAAAACAGAGATGAGTCTGATCTGGGTAAGGATGAGACTCATAAACAGTGGGAAAACAAAAAAAAACCAAAAAAACAAATAACCAAACAAAAAAAAAAAAAAAAAAAAAAAGAAAAAAAAAAAAGAAAAAAGAAAAAAAAATTGGTCTTGCTCTAAACTACGACTTTTAAAACCTCAGCAACCTTATACAAAGTATAAGAGCTTCCGAGTCCTACATGTGCAAATCATCAAACTGAGTCATGAAGAGCTCAAAGAGGATTTTCCACCATTGCTAGATCAAACCAGGGGCATGGGGTGTACCCAGAACTTTGCTCCAAGTATCAGGCACTGCATGGGCTGCCTTGGCAGGTCTCTGTTTCGCTGAGCATCAGGAAGAAACACTGGACTTGGTGCTTAGTATTTTGACTGCTAACTTGACAGTTCAGAAATGGCTTTAATCTTGGTTATTTTAGTGGCTGGTATTGATACATGATTTCCACTGTTCTATATTATGCTGTGTTTCACACCCAGACTTGTTTATTCAGCCATATACAGATGTACATACTCAAATCCTTTAAAAAAATAGGTCTTACCTCTCGCATCCACTCTCGAATAGTTTTCCCAACTTCTTGATGCCACACATTGTGAACTGAGTCTGTCAACGCCACAGCAGTTACCCTATTCTTTACTTCTGCCTCTCGTTGAATCATCTGTTAAAAAAGATTGTATTTAAATTAATTCCTTTTACTGAATAGAGTCTGCTTACTCAGAGATAATGGTCTTAATTTTAAAAAGAAACAGCAATACAGATTCACTACTTGACTTCGCTTGTTTAAAAGTTTATACAGTTCCTAACAGGTCCAGAAAAAAAACCAGAAACACCTAATATTTTCGATTAAAAAAAAATACTAACTTTTGACTGACTGAACTATTCAGTCCTATTATTTTCCATGTGGCTTGACAATTCTAGGATTAAAGGTATCATAGTGAAAAAATGGAAGATTCCCTGAGGACACCTTTTACAAGCTTCTCCAAGTCCCTATTTCAGTTCTTCAGGGAAGCTGGTACCTGTGGTTCACTGTAAGGTTCTCATGACTATCATCTACTAATTTTCAGTAGATTGCTGTAGTTTTTCTGATGTACAATCTCACTTCGACTTGTATAGGTTTTTTCTTTTTCTATCCAATTTAGCTATCTTGCACGCTCACCATGGTTCCAAAATTCTTCTCTCTTCTCCCTTTTTCATATGCTTACTCAGCTAACACCAAAGCCTCTCCACATTTTTAGGATATTAAAGAGCCTCTGTTGTTGCAAATGACAGTATGACTAAATAATATCAGTTCTAAAACAAATTAAATGATTGCTGCAAATAACACAAGTGCACTGACAAAGATGCTGTGGAGTTCAGCACTGCTATGCAAGATAAAAGGTACTGGGAAAGAATAGCTTGATATCAAAGACAGACAAAGAGGTTTTAATCTCCTGATATGAGTGATCCTAATTTGTAACACTGGATCAAAGAAAGCATAATAAATTGTACTTACCAGCATAATAAATTGTACAAAACCAGCATTTCATAATTGGTATCATTATCGTTGTGTATGCTGCAATAAAGTTAATGGCTTTTTAATCTTCCTTTTTGTATAAATGTAACACATACCATATTTCTAAAATCAAGTATTCTTTCTTCATGGTCTAGTAACTGCTTATCAGCACACAGGCTGCACCTCTGAACCCACTGTTCCATGTCCTTGCCATAAGAATGACTCCAAAAACCTCCTAGAAAAGAAGTTTTTTGAAAGAGACAGTATCTAAAAACAATACTTGTCAACTACACACACTTAACTTGCTTTAAACCCTGTTCTACACTGAATAACTGTTTTAAACACACCTTATAATATTCCTGTTCCAGTGCTGTGCATTCTACCACTCATTCGGCTGCACTATCTTCCACAAAACACTGTGATTAAACAGGCAAAGGTGTAAAAATATCACTGTCCTTGAAGCCCACATACCTACCAATTACTCAGAGTTATTACACGCTGGGTGAAGTTTAAAATCATCACCAGCTCAGAGTATTCCAGCATGACTTCCTCCATGAAGGGCTGGTATTCAGAAGCACTTCTAATGACCAGCAAAGATAAAAAATATGCTCTGCTTTGGAAAAGCAGTTTTTTCTCAAGCTACTCTGTCCCATGTTTCTGTTTTGAAAACTATCTACCTAGTTCATCTTAGAACATCACCTTTTTCTTCAAATCACAAGAAAATACAAAGGTGCAGTTCCCTTTTTTTTTCCAGACCTAGCTCAGGTTTGCTATTCTCAATTTCCCTATGCACATGTAAGAACTGGCAGTCATTGATCACCATTTCTTTCTCATCTTTCTTCATATAGTACATACAGTCATTGCTTTTCAGATCATGTATGGTATATAGGAAATAATATGCAATACCCAACATGCTCCTGGTGCTTGCCATTCAGCTTTGTGGATGCCTGCAGAATCACATTCTCTTCACAAAGATCAGCAAAGTGACTGAGGCTGACAATGTGATGTTTTTTGATAACTCAGCCACAGTGCTAGGGTTAGGATAGGGTCTCACGGATGCAGAAGCAAAGGGGGATCAAAGGAATTAACTGAGCTTCACGTACAGATTTGTTAACATCCAGCCCAGAAGAAAAAAAGTTTTGGTAGGCATCCATGCCCTTCTGAGCCAACTTAGAAAGGAATAGACAAAAACAACACATAAAGTGTGGAAAGGACCAAGGGTATAGCCATCACTTAAACAAGAAACCTAATGTGTCCACGTTTCAGTGACACAGAAATGTCACAACAGAGCATGTCAAACTGAAGACACTTTTGCTTCTATCAGAGCAGCTCAAGATTACTACTACAATGGGACATTCACTGATAATAATAATCAAGGAAAACAGACCCAGGTTAAGTTCAAGCAGCAAACACTCTCATCAGGGATGACAATTGACCCTTCAAGAAGATGCAAGAAGTTTATGTACTTTTGGGCACAGATGCTTCAATACTCAGTAAATGCTTCAGATTCAGTGGATTGATAGCTCACAGTTAGAACTTATTCCTCTTTTCTAAAATCAGTTTTGAATTAAGATAAATTTTAAAAATTAAATGTGTGGAATAAAATTGTAAGGGTAAAATAGATTGACTTTAAACAAAAATGTAGTACCCAGCTACCATTCAAATTTGATGTAATGTGGACATTGTTCTAGATTCCAAGGGAAGGATACTGTAGGATGCATGATTTACATTTCCCAGGACCTGTTTTATTCCACGGAGCCTGTAGAGTCTTTTGAGGTGGACATACTAAAACTGATGACATGTAATAGACCATAGTCTGCGAAAAATACTAAAATTCAGACATTTTTCTTCAGAATAATTATTTTTTTACTGAAGCAAACAAAGGCCTACGAATTTTTCTATAAAGTTCATTTATGGCTTATAATCTTTTTACACAGTAAATTCCACAGAGAGAAAGTTTTCACAGCCTAGGAATTACATACTTTCCTGCTTAACGCCCATTTAAAAACCTTAAACTATTATTAGCAGACTACATTTTGCAGGAGGACAGCTCTCTGTGAACCTCATCACTGGATGGCTCATTCTCCCCTTACACTCCTTCTTCCTAATAACAGTAATTCATTTACAATCAGAAGTACGTAAAATGGCATTTCTCTATTATACACAAATAGGCTCTCATGTATTACTGCACCACTCATGATTCTGGGTCCTCTAGACTTTTCCAATAAGCTTCTCTCTTTAGGCATTTCCATTCTATCTTTTTTCTTGTGCTCCTTCTTCGTAGTCACAGTAAAGTTTGATTTTGTAATTTATTAACCATATTCCAACACTATATATGTCATTCCCTTCGAATGACAAGTTGCAGACCAGTTCTCCTTGCAACAAGTTAGAAAGCATTCAAGCATCCTTCTGAAAGTCCTCTTTATCCCAGTGGCTGAAAATTTGTTTATTCACTTTGGAAGGGAAATCTCAATGATCTAGTTGCAGAAGTATTCAGCTCTAACAGTTACATAAACACGAACTTGAAAATCCCTAAAAATGCATGCCTCATGTTCATACATCATAATTACTCATTCGTTGCTCAATTTAGTAAGAATTGCAACTGCTAACCTGCAAGCTTATATTACCCAAGTTGTCATAACATTATAATGTCAAAAGGTTGATACCGCTGGTATCTGTAGTGTGTATAAATAAAACACAGATTCACACATACAATACATATGCAGTATATTTAGCATGCATATATAGTCAGAATAGATGATAAAATAGGCCTTTGGTATATATTTTATAGCATAATAGTCCTGTCAAATGAAAGCATCAGTGTGTCAAAAGACGACTTAAATGTCTCATCTTGCCAACCAGAAACCATGAAAATCCATGAAAGTACCAATTAGATTTTAGGTAAATAGCTGGGGGAGTAAATCCTAGAAACATTGAACTCTTTATACCAATTCTAACACTTAAAACAGGTAAAAATTCAAAAACTTCCAAGAAATTTAAAGCAAGTTAAATTTTTTTTTACAGGCTTTTATTTTTGCAGGTTCATAAAATCAAATAAAAAACCCATCACTTCATATTCAGGGAATATTTACTCTTCTGAGTTGTTTTTAATTAGGAATGAGGAAAAATTGATTAAAAATGAATTAAAAATACATCCAAATTTTATTTTCTCTTGAAGTTTTGAAATAAACTATTCAGATACTTTCTTTGTCCTCCATAGCAATTTCAGTTGTGGCATGGTGTTACATGGTATGCACTGGGCTTCAATGGGCACGTTGACAACAAGAATTTGACTTAGAACAATATAATTTTGATGCAAGTCTTCCACTGTATCCAGTTGCATTATACTGATTTGAGACTCTTAAAGACATTTTGGCATCAGCAAGCAGAATTCTTTCCAGAGGAAACAACTGGAAGCCCCTGGCAAAAGTTTTCACTGGTTTCCAGACATGGAATGAATTTGCATCCAGAAATTCTGGTGGATCAAAACAACTTCAGCTGGACACTGAAATATTTGTAAATACAATGGTAGATAGCAGGAGAGAGGAATTCACATGATAGGAATAATGTGCAAGAGGGCAATTTTTACTTCCTTTTGTAAAGGAATGTGGATTTCTTTTTGGTAACTTCATATGCTGTCCTTGTAACTTGCTTGTTACCAGTCTATAGTCAACATCCTCTTCAACCACCATTTCACTCAGTCTCATACAAACCAATTAACCAGTTTGTCTGCCTGGCAGCACTTGAGCCTCTCCTCAGTTATGAAAAAACTTCTCTTCACCAGGAAGTATGTAATTCCATATTCTGTAGTGCAAGTTTGTTGGTCTGGAATTCCTAAGACTTTTCACTGCTTCCTGAATAGGATTCCTGAATTTTTGAAATATTCTCAATTTTCTGCATATATTAAAATGGAATTAGATCCCCAAGCCCTCATAAAATATTTGTTAGGAATTAGAATTGTTGGGCAACTATGCTCGAACAACACAAAGCAAAAATAATAAACAATCCGCAGTTCTACCAGTTTTCATTTTCAATTAGCAACAGCAATCATCTTCCCTAAATGAATTTGTAGATGTGATAAAATCCCTACTTGTAGTAGACAAAACCCTTGATACACATCAGTTTTTAAACGGAAAATACTTTCAGAGATACAATTAGAGAATGAC